TAAAAGTGAAATAGAATGAGAAGTGAGTGAATATGTGCAGAAAGTGCCTGTTTCAATAGAGGGGGAGAGCAGAGCCTGGCCACTTGCTCCTGTTTGGGTCGATAGATAGGAGCAGAAAGCTGAGAGCTGCTGGAATAATTGAGACCGGTCATCGGAAGTGTGGAAGTGCCAGGGCAGCAGAAAATAGCCGTAACTCAGCGAGATAGGAGGTGGGATTTACAATGTGTGTGATCAACAGCAGAGATTCCTCCATATCTGAGTCTCCCAAAGGACCAGAAAGCTGCGGCCTGCGGTCTCCATCTTAAGGGGCATGAAGTGTACCTTGTTAATAGCTACTGCGAGTTTGATGCTGACCGTCAGCACTGGGATCGATGCGCTTCAGCTCTCAAATGTCATCTTTTGAGGGTGAAAAAGACAGGAACATACTAGAAAGTCTAGATTTCAGCAGACTGTGTAGCTGGCAAGAGGTACTCACATGTTTTGGCACATTATTTTGCATCTGCTAAGTTTCATTTAGACACTTTCTCACTAACTGGGCCAGTCATAGCTGTCTCACACATCTCACTGTGACTGCACAAACATGTTCAGGCAACATGAGGAAAATGTCATCTGCATCAGTATGAAATATGGCCCTTGTTTTATTTTGTGCACACTGTGTATTGTTAAGCTTGGGGCAGTCTTGACCGGTAGCAGTTCATGCTTCATTAACTCAACATGTGCATGACATTTTGCACTTTTTTATAGCTTATGTTATTCTTGTCACTCACTTGGGGCAGTAAGCATTTTTACGGTGGGTGGAGATACTCCTATGACTGACAAAGGCAGTTCTGTGCACTTCAGCCCCCTCCTCCTCATCTTCACCCCCTCTACCTCTCCCATGCCACGTCTCAGCCCCAACAAAGTGAAGATGGGCTGTGGCATTGGCTGCCATTCAGCCTGACTCCCCTGTCGGCCCCACAGAATGCCTTTCAGGTTACCCCAGAGTAACAACTGCTGCGTTTTATTACAGCGTGAAATGGGAAGTGAAAGACGGCTATGGATGTTCCTACTTAACCATGCAGAATGTGTCACTATTGGGCAGCAATATAAGAGGACAAAGGGGAAATCAGTTGCTTTTATTAAGACTAACAGCTCAAGTCCATATGCTCTTGTTCAAATCTCAGAGCATCTCTTTTTAGGTGAAATTTGTCCAGAAATATGTTAACATCACATAGGATAATTACATGCATTCCTTAAACTATTCACACAGATGGAAGCTGTGTTGGCAGCATGACAGATTTGCCTGAGAGAGACCCAGACACTGGCACCCAAACTCAGGAGATACACCATGTTCAACTCAGTACTGTCCTCTGCCCGTGTTACACGGTGTATTTGCAAAGATTAGGTCTCAGATAAACACTAGCGTCGCTATCGTCAGTAGAAGATGTGCAAATGTTTGACAGCTCTACACTGCAAAAACTCAATTTCTGAGTAAGTGAAATCATTTAAAATCTAGTGTGACTTGTTTTGAGTATGGTTTGGCTTATCCAGTCACATTTCATTCCATCGACAACAATAGCCTTTCAGGTGGTTTATGTCCCTTTCAGTACAAATCTACAGTTTCAGAATAATCATAAGAATAGAAACCACTTACATGCAGCACATTTTGAATGTGGTTTGGATCGATTTTTCTGGTTTGTTGTAAATAGCTCCTGAAATTCAAACTCACCAAAGGCCAGTGTAACAATTCTATTTTAAAATTTCAACATACTGTATGAAAGTAGAGGTACATGATTCTGGATCATGAGGGTGTGTATCTGCATTTGTTAGGATGGCGGTGATACCCTCCCACCCCCCACCATTAAAATATAAAACAAAACAAAAAATACATTGCACAAATACGTACAGCATGTCATGGTTTAGATTGAGCTCCAAACTGTGTAAATAGGAATCATGCACTTGAGTTATGAGAGCACCTTTGTAATTATATCCAGCCATCCTATTTGCTTTGGCAAGGTGTCTGTCACCAGTCCTCTCTTCCCTACTTGAATGTCAGGTTGTAGGTGTGGCTGCAGAGAAACGCTGACAGATTTCAGTTTTCAGAACACCCTAGTAGAGCTATCTCAGCTTCAGCTGGAATCTGTTTCAGGACTGTTGCTGCAGCCGTCTTGATAAAAGCACTTTTAAATACAACTTCCTGGTACAATTAAGCCATTTTTGTTAGTTTTGTCCCGAAGATTTGATAAATTGAGAATTTGGATCTGTGAGGGTGAGACAGCACTAAACACAGCCAGTATTCTCATCTCTGTTGCAATACCCTTGGTACGCAATGTGCTGTGCTAATTCATGCCGCTTGGCACGCAAGACTGAGCATTGCGAGGTAACATCTCTATTTTCACTTGTATCGTGTTTGTGTTGAACCAGAAAAAGGTTCCTCCACAAGAAAAGCCACTGGAATGCATTCAACCCCTGCACACAAGATCTTTCAATAAGTAAAATGAGCTTGATCCCTGGGCTTATGTGTGTATGCTCAGCGATTTGTTGAAGGGATTTGGGGGCTTTAACGTGTGCATCTACTGGCAGAATGTCCTTTAGACCCTGGTGCAGCACACAGCTTTTGCTTCAAGACCTCATTGTATGAGGCCAGGATGGTGAGGTTGCTGCTACTGCCCATCTGTGTTGCAGGGTTTTCTCTCAGAAGACACAATTGAGAACAGAATTAATGATATAAGGTCACTGTATTATTAGAAGCAGATGATGATAAAGTTGCATAGACTCTGTGGATGGTGAGGCATAACTTGGACAGTGCCGCTGTGCTCATATGTCATCTTAAGACTGAGGTGTTACAGTGGTTTAACCTGATCAGCTCTGTAGGAACCACATTAGTTTCTTTTGGAGCTCTCATCGGTCATAACTATTTGCTTTCCCGTGAAGGTGTCCAATTTTTTGCTCTGACATTTTATATGTTATACCACAGCAGTGATATATACAGTATATTGCTATGAAGTAATTAAGAAAATACCCTTCCTCCCAACGTCCTCCTCCACCCTCTTTATACCGAAGAGCTGGTTGTTTAACACTCAACACACCGTCCACATGGCGATCTTGCCTGAGACAAAGCTGGGCAAAGCACAGAGCTGCAGCTGAGTATAAATGAGGTGCTGGCAGGTGTGCACATAGTGCTGATTGCAACATGTTCCTCCAGGAGCAAGAGTTATGTTTCTTCATGTGCCCGTCCTCCGCACTCCATAAAAGCAAATAAACTTTTCACTGACAATGGCATAGTAATGACAGAGCTGGATAATGAATAATAAATACAGCTCTGACTGAGGAGAGAAGTTTCCTCCATCAACTTTGTGTTAAACACACTCAACAGGAGGTGTCCTCTTTTAACCACCCTTCTGTGCTGTACCTTACATAGTGCTACAGATTGTTCCTTTTCTCAGTGTACCTCTGCTGATGATGGTTATATTCCCATGCCACTGACCAGCAAATGATCTGTCCCAGATGATGAATGCTTTGTAAATTTACTGCTGTACCTTGTGTTAGTGCTGTAACTGGCACGGGAGATTAAATTAAATGGAATTGAATGAGTGACTTTGGCAGGTCTCTGGTTGGTGTGGTTTGGGCTGCTCCCAGTGCAGCACAGAAGCAGCCTGGCAGTGGTTTATGTGTGCGACTGAGCTTGCTTACCTCTTCTACACCAACCCTTAGTGGTCAGCAGCGGCAGCACGTAGGACCCCAGTCCCATCTGAATACATTCCCTTTCCTGCAGCAACATCTGACTGATTTTATTGGACATGCATAAACACTTGAGATACAGTTTTATGCAAAAGTTTAGGCACCCCTTGATAAATAACAGATTTTGGTGATTTTTTATTTGAACAGATGTTAACACAGTTTCTCTTGGAAATGGAAAAAATGCACAATATTTTCAGCAAACAGTGATGCATAGTTACTTCTTATGCCATAAATTGAACAAAAATAAAAAATAAAAACATTATTATGGCATGGTGCAAAAGTTTGGGCACCCTAAGAGTTCCAGAGTCTCAAAGTCTCTCACAAGGTATCAGACCTTAATCAGCTCGTTAGATCTGATGCACAGCAACAGCTGTCATTGGTAAATGCCAATTTCAAAGCTGTACAAATACTTTGACTCTTCAAACCTTGTGCACACACTTGTGGACACCCAGCAACCATGGGTTCCTCTAAGCAGCTGTGTAAGACCCTGAAAATGAAAGTTATTGACGCCCACAATGCAGGAGAAGGCTACAAGAAGATAGCAAAGCGTTGTCAGCTTGCAGTTTCCACAGTAAGAAATGTAATTAAGAGATGGCAGATCAGGGGAACTGTGGAGGTCAAGATGAGAGATTTGTCCAAAGTGAGTTGCTGTATTTAAAACAAGTGGGGTTTGACCAGATGGGTAACATCTTACTGCCCCATTATGCTGGGCAAAATTACCTTGAGGTTTTTCTTTTATCTCATGCCTATTGAAAACATTCAGTAAATTTATTCCACGTGTTAGAAAAATGGGAATCCCATGAACATTAAACTGAGTGTATCATTTACTAAACACTCTCTGCTTGGGATGGTAGAGAAGGGAGTTTAGTGCCACTGCCAGAATGTGTCAGGCCGGGGCCTGAGCGGAAGAGGTCGGCAGGATAAGAGTGGGGCATGGACAGGGAGGCTGGCAGCGATAAGGTATGATGAAGGAATGTGTCAGGGCTCACACCAAGCAATACCCGAGCATCAGAAGATTTCTAGACACAGCGCAAAGGTGTGCCTGTCTGCTCATAACGGAAAAATCTTTTTGCCCCATGTTTTTTTACATCCTTTGAAGGCATGCGGGGCATCTGTAACAAAAGAGGTGTGACCAGTTGTTGTGAACATACTGGGAAGTGGGTGAGTGAGGCACTTGTGAGGCAGTCAGCGCACCAAACACAGATAGCCTCATCTCTACGGCAGCAGCACCTTGATGTGGCTGGCTCTTTGAAGAACTGACACCCTTCTCCTTTTCACAGTGCCTGGAGCCCTGCAAGGAATCCTGGGACCTGAAGGAAAACCAGTGCCAGGATTTATGTGAGGTACGTCACTACCATAAATACGCTCGCTGCCTCAGACTCAAATGTTCAGACTTTGTAGGAAAATTCAGTAAGAGGAAAGTTTGAGAGGATTGTGAAGTGTCTTTTATGCACTGTGGTGACACAGTGTGTGAGGCTAAATCAAAGCTGTTCAGTGTACACCCAGCTCCAGTGAGTCATTAGCTGAAATGTAAACGGGACAATGCCTGTCAGCTGCCTGTTAGCAGTCAGGCAAATTGGTATGACAAGTAATATGACATATATTTTTCCTCCTCCTCTTCTCTCACCATTCTTTAGCCCCTCTTTCCCAAGAAGCACTATGAATGTCTTACAAGCTGTGAGTTCTTGAAGTCAATAGAGGGAGTGAAGCAGGGCGACTGTCCTGCCCCAGAGAAGGCCAGTGGCTTTGCAGCCGCCTGCGTGGAGAGCTGCGAGGAGGATGGAGAGTGTTCAGCTGTCAAAAGGTGCTGCTCCAATGGCTGTGGCCACACCTGCCAGCTGCCTAAGAACCTCTACAAAGGTGATGCTAAAGGCTGCTTAATTTGCATCATATTGTATTATGGTAAAACCATTCTGCCACAACTACAATTTTTAAGCATCAGCAGGAGAGTAAACAGTACACAGAGAGATCTTTATTATTGAGATTAATGATTTAAAACTAAAAAGCGTAACACTGGCTTACACAGATGCATCATTTCCTGTAAACTCATGATGTATTTGAAATGGGAATGGCGAACTGAAACAACACTGAGAACTGCTACACTATATCTAAGAGGCAATGACTGAATGTAAATACACTGAGTGGCTATTGCTAAAAAAATGCTGATTATAAATACAGTGAAAAAAGGGAGAGGGGGTTGATTTCATGAAAATACTGATGATTTTAACATCCCCACATACTGTATTGATAATAATTTATAAATCTAGCATTTATGCTCCATGTTTTGTTCATCAAATTGAATTTTTCTTGATGTCTATTGTGCCATTTTATACACATCTCCCTAAAATTCAACTAGACATGTTTGTTAACAATGAAAACTTTCTTAACAGAAATATAAACTTAGGTTTTGTGAGTTTGAAGAACATTTGTTAGTAATGACAGAGCCACTGACAGATGAGTGAAAAATAAACAAGCAGTGAGAAAGAGAACCTTAGATGCATCAGTAAATCATGAAAACTTTTAAAAACTTTTAAAACGATTATATTAGAAGCATCATGATTTCTGGAGCAAATGAAGTTGACAGATTATGATGCATCTCTAAATTTCATCATTGCTCAGGGATTAACATGGTTCGTCAGCTCATTCCTGGACACCCTTTCTCTATTTTTCCTTTTCAGTAAATGATGTTTAATATCTGGTAATGGTGCAATGCAAGCATCATGCTTTTAACATGATTAAATGTTACAGTTGTGCATAATTTTCATAAATAGCATCAAACCAATTAATCCCTCCCTGTCAAGCATTCATTTGGAATCTTAGTAATGCAGATTGCAGATTGTCTTGTACAATTTCTGACGACTTGCTTAGAATCATACATCATTATTTCATCTCTTCGTATTTTACTTTGCCTACACATCTGTTATGCTGTCTCCTGTTGTAAATTGGATTACATTATGTCTTGAATTTGCTGGATAAGCTTGATAAGCTTGGGTTTCACAGACAAATATGTAGCCAAGAATCTCTGCTCCAGTAAAACAGTTTAAAAGTGCTGCCCAAGGCGGCCTGATGTTCTGAGAGTGCTGAGTTGTTATGTGGGAGAACCAAGAGCCCCTGAACTTGGAGATGGGAGCTACATTATATATACTATGAGCATGCAGCTGTTGAGAGCCTGAGGCCATAACAGAGAGATATGCTGAAATGGAAGCAGTGTTTGGATCAAGCTTTGAACTGCTGCAGTGTGCATGCTTGCTTTGAATCACACTGGAGTAACATGTTCTCCTGTGTGTAGTATGTTTAGTTTTGAGAGGCAAGGGCATCTGATTTGTGAGCCTGGGCTTGTGCACACTGAAGACTGTGCTAGTATTTATATTAGATCTGGAAAACTCCTGAGGGACTTCACTGTGGATGTTATGCTCAAAAGGTGAACAGCACATTAATTGGGGAAAGATGAAAGCAGGCGTAACCTTGAAATTTTCAGTACAGTGACCCAGTCAATGAAAACCATTCACCACACTGTGAGACCTTCAAATCAAGCAGCCTACCCGCTGATTTAGTCCAAACACTGAGCCCGTGACGAGGTCGCTGTCAGCACTACATTTACGGTAAATTACACTGAGCGTTCTGGTGAAAGTTCGGATGGAATTTCTGTCCTGGTCCTCAGTGTTAAAGGTCTAATTAGATGCTCATGGCTTGAAGAGCATAATTGTTTCTGTGTGTGCACAAGAGTGTATGTAGTCTTTGCCATGATGAGCCATGATGCTGGAAGGCATTAGCAAACACAAGCGAGGAGAAATGGAGCGTTTCCCCCACTGAGATCACTCTCAGATGTGTGTGTTCAGGTTAGGGTCCCCAGCCCACGCTATGTCCCTGATTGACAAAAACTGCAGTATTCAGGATCTCAAAGACACTGGGCCCCCGCTGGGCTTTTGATCTGTAACAAAGCTTCTTCTTTTTTACATCAATAGAGCCCACGCTGTTACCCATCATCCACTGCTCTGTAGTGTTGTCTCAAAGATGAATTTGTGGAATGGCGCATCAGATAAAATATGCTGTGCACGTATATAAATAGGCAGTTTACTAGGCTGCTCTGTTTCTCTCATTTTAGTTCACTCATTTCATCCATTCTCTGGAGAAATGGCAACACACACATGTAACCCAAGCTCTTATGAATGTTTTCTGATCAAAAGCAGCGCACAATTTCACAATCGAATGTGAAAGAAGATGGAAAAGGAGCTGGGGGGTGGTTAAAAAGAATATGTGAAAAATGTAGACGTCAGAATGAAATTAAATTAAGCGAATGTCATATTCACACTGTCACAACCAGCCAGTCTATTAGTCCATCAGTTATCCTCAGGTTACAGTAAGCCCTTGTGCTGCAAGCAGTATTTGTAGTGTTTTCCTCAACGCCCTGTAATTAGAGCAGTAATTATGACAGTATGTGCGTGAGTATTGAGAATTATATTCCTGGAGTGTAATTTTCAGCATGATTAAGGCATGAATGGATGCCGTACTCTTGATCGTGCCTCATCAGCAGTTACATCATAGTTTGGAATGAGCATGTGGCCACTGAAAAATGAACACCGTGTGGTTCTTGAGCCAAACCTGACCCAGCAGTTATCTTTGGAAGGAGCAAGCTGAAAGAAAGTGCATTCATTTTCCCTCCCACATATTGTAGAAGAGAAGGAGGTTGTGTGTGTGTGTTTGTATGTGTGTGTGATTTGTGCTTTGCAGGAGCACTTGTGTGAGTTTGTGGGAAGATGAGCTAAGACAGAGGGAGAAAAGGAATGCTATGGTTACCTTGGTGTTTATTATTGCACAGGAAATGTGACACGTTTGTTCACGCACACAGACACACACACACTCTGCTGTGGAGCTGTGAAACCACAACACAATGACCCCCAGCTGTTAGTATGCAGAGAGCTGTTATCAGTAGGACAAAACAAAGTACTGAATCCATATGCATGTGGCTCAAGGATCCTCCCCCATCTTTCACAAATTTATATGTATCAATCAATCACTTTTATGGTCCCTCTGTGAAGACTGAATAGAGATATAAGTGGATGAAGTGCTCCGCATACAAAACACAGTCTTGATGAAGTTGTTTACCGACATGCCGTGCAGCAGCCTTGAGCACGTGCTGATGCTGCTTATAAATGCGGAGCAGTGGCGGGCTGCTCAGCAGTGACAGAGGTCCACCGTAATGGTCTGCAGAGCTAGGCGATTTATTGAGGGCTATGTGGATGTATTCAGCCACCTCCTGTACTTCCAAACTTGCTTTTTCAATCTCCATCTCATTATCACTGTGCCCAACACTCAATCAACAACTCGCTATGTCTCCACTGCAATAAATTCACTTGAGAGAGTCGGTCTGATTTGGCTAAGCATTTGGCCCAGTCCTGCACCTCATAAATCTCTAATATATTGCACATGGCCACATAGACTTTGTCTTAACAGCTGTATGTGAAGTGCGATGATGCAGATGTACTTTACCTACAGTGTATATTATGTGTGTATGTTGAGTATTTTGTGTCTGTAAGAGAGAGAGAGGTGTTACGTGCACCATCTCGCATACCCAAATGCAAACTATGTGTATCATTATGAACAAGTGCAGCTACTAAAACACATTACTCTGTCCAGGAAATATCACACTCAGTCACAGCAGAAAGATGATTCTGTTGACCCACAGCATGTATTAAATCTATTGCGGTGAGATCATGTCTCGTTTTCAAATCTATATCTGTCCAACTCTGATGGTGTCATTTATCTTTCCAACTGACTTTCCATACAGTGGGGATATAAACGCTCCTCACAGTATTGTCTTCCTTCTTTGTGCTGTCAGGAGTCCCTCTGAAGCCAAGGAAAGATCTGGTGTTTTTGGAGCAGCCATCAGGTCAGCTGGAGATCCACTGGTCCTCCAAGTTCAACATCTCCGTGGAGCCCGTCCTCTATGTGGTGCAGCGTCGTTGGAACTATGGCATCCATCCCAGCGAGGACGATGCCACAGAGTGGCAGACAGTTGCCCAGGCAGGAATCCACACACCATACATGTGAAATGTCGAGTCACACACCAGCAAGGGTTTTTTTTTGTCTTTTTATCCAATCAGATTTAGTTGTCTGGGCGGTTCTTTGGATCAGATTTATATCACAATGTAATATCAGCTTCACATGTCCCAGCGTGCCACACTCTACAGCTGTGAAAATGCTCCTCTGCGCTGACAGACTGTTACGCACGGTTGCACATTCCTCACAGTCAAAGTGTCTTTGAAAGTTTGGCAAAGAGAACAGCGCAGATGACTGATGTGGCTCACGTGGGGTTGTGACCCTGCCTGAACCATGACCCCTGTGGTTTGATCCCCCCCCCATCTGTCCCTCAGACTGCAGAGGAGCGTGTCCAACTGGCTGACATCAGAGCAAGCAGATGGTACCAGTTCAGAGTTGCTGCAGTCAATGTCCACGGGACCCGCGGCTTCACTGCGCCTAGCAAACACTTCCGCTCCTCCAGAGGTCTGTGTTTGCATGTACATATGCATGTGTGTGTGTGTGTGTGTGTGGCCTTGCTTGGTGTGTAAGTTCCTGTTTGACACCCACTGCCCTCCATTTGTTATGGATAAGACCTTGGAACAGGTGGAGCCCTAAGAGTTTTAAGACCTTAATTGATTCTTATATGACCATACAGACCATCTGTATGTGGTGAATATTCCGTCTCATTTCAGCTAAAGCCATGAAATTCTGTATTTTGTTGTAAAAAAAAAAAAAAGTCTTTTAAAAATCAGTTTTTGTCCACCTACACTTTGCACCTTGCATCACTTAAGAGGACTAAAACACTTGTCCACCATTTTGTGTGATTCACTCCTAAGGTGTTCAACCCCATGGCTCCATTAAGCAGCACTGAACTGATTATGATTGATGATCATAAGTGATTGATGATTGGTAAAGCCGTACAGTTACATACATGGTGTTCCCTCTCTTGCATTTGCTCTTTTAGATGTGTTTATTTAAAACTGTATTTGGGCATGAAACCTTTAAACTATGATTTTTAAACCTTTTGTTTATATTGTCAACACGATTTCTAAATAAGCGTTTCCCCTCTGCATTTTCCACACATTTACCCTGTGAGCTAAATGGAAAAGGTAATTCCTGCCAATGCCAATTAGAATGTGAGTAATTAGGAGTGACTGGGGTGCGTGGAACATTTCTGTGGTGCAACCAGATCTACATTTATGTTTTTAAAGCAGGGGTTTCCCTCTCTTTACACTCATATAAAATGTAATATGTCTGAATTAGTCAGGATATTGCAGGTTTCAAATAAAAGCAAGTGTTGTCTTGCTTCCAGTGGGAGTGATGTAGTTTAAGCACACTTCAGATCTTTGCCACAGATTAGTGAATGAGCTCTGATGGCATCCTGTGTTACTGCATGTATCCCCTTCCCTGCATTTTCACTGGTGAATGACACTAAATAGCCAGGTTGTGATGTAGATGGCATTTGTTAAGGTTGCAGCCATTTGTTGTGCAGTTCCCAGAGATTACAGGTTTGTCACAATAGCACTGCATCTACACTGAATCTGATTCAGACCAGGTGAGGTGTGTTTGTTTGACATGTACGTGCCCACCAGTGCAGCCTCGAGCAGCCTTGAGTTCAGCGTCTGTGAATGTATATCGTGAAAAAAATTGTCTGACTTCTACTTACCAAAATGTACCAAACATTATTCTTGTGATAAAGTTGTTTACTACTATTGGCAGACATTCTAAGAACTCACCATGTTCTGCCAGATACTAAAAACCTGTGCTAAAGGTATTAGTATTTAGTGGTATGTGTGTGTGTGTGTGTGTGTGTGTGTGTGAGACCTATCCTGTCAATCCGTCATCATACATTTGCTCCCCAGAGCTTTCTGGATAGCTGTCAGACATAGCCAGACACCTGGTGGGGAAAGGATTCTTCTGTAGAGATGAAAACTGATCTCCAATCAGGCCAATTAGTGCTGGAATGTTGATAGATTGATGGGAGCTGTCATGGATTGGATGAGCTCCTTGCCATTCTGTCATGCCATTGTTATTTATATAGTAAGGCCATGTCATCTGATTGCAATTTTGCGCTACAGTCCTTTGTTAGGGCAATTTGTAGGAACGGACTGGTTATTTATTTTGCACAGCCAGCATCAGCTGGTATGAAGAACCAATGTGTTCAATTGTGTTTTTGGACTGGATTAAATGTGTTTCAGGTGGGAGAGAGGAGGGGAGGGGAGGGGAGAGCCAGCTGGCTTGTGCCATGAATCATTTTCTCATTAAAGGACTATTCCCTCTGGTTTGGCATCTGGCATGTGGGCCTACCTCTTCGCTTTCGCCAGGCTTACATCAGCAGCTGCCAGCAGGCTGGGTCACAGCACATATGGATAGGTTCAGAACCAGCTTTACTCTGGAAACACACACACACACACACATTAGTTAGGGTACATGGAATTCTGAATTTGGAGCCAAAGTGAGCAGCATGTGTTTGTTAACTCCTGACCTGCCTCTCAGTCTTGCCAAATGCTCATCGACATGACATGACACCTGTCATAATGTCTCACAGCAGACTGTCAATGGAGGGCTAATTACTTCGGTGACGTACAGGGTCTCCTTCTTGGCTGCAGTGCAGATTCTCAAATGGTGAAAGATATCTTGGCTTGAAATACATTGAGCTTTAAATTATACTTGCAAGAAAACTGCCTTTGCTCACGTGTGCTGAAATCTGTTTTTTTCGCTGTTGCTATTCTTCAGATCCGTCCGCCCCTCCCAGCCCAACCGGTCTGCGTATCACCAACATGTCGCTGGGCGATGAAGGCCTGCTGACAGTTCGTCTTAACTGGACCTTGCCAGAGGAGCCTGATATCCCCATACACCACTATAAAGTGTTCTGGAGCTGGACTGTGCCCACCAGGTCGATGGTGCCATCCAAGAAGAAAAGGAGAAAGACCACCGATGGGGTAATTGTTTCACTCTGTCTCAGTGATGTGGTCTTTCTCTCTGTTTCTCTAAGACTGCAGGGTCTTGTCCAGGAATATCTCAGTATCTTCTTTTCAAGACATCACTGCATATATCCAGGATAAAGATAGAAAGAGATTATCAATAGAAAGAGGTCATCAATCTCACACAGAGAATGATGCTCTTCGGTGTTTTTATTCCCTGTAATGATAAAATGCAGTGTTAAACATTGAAAGCCTATCCCTTGTGATAAATAGGCTTCATTTATCATGATTATTTGTGATTTCAAGGTCTGTGTTACTTAAATATCTCTGTTCTTCACCTTGTTTTGCAGTGGAATTTTGGAACTTTCGATTTCTCCTTCTCTGTTTCTGAACTATTTTTGAAGCAGTACATGGCTTTATTTATTTATTTATAACTTTTTTTGACATAGATCGCAGCAGACTTAGTGTCAAGTGGTTATGTAAGTATAATCACAATTCACAGTTTCTTCATACTTATCATCTTTTACATTAATGTATGTTTAAACTAAGTGACTCAGTAAACCAGGGAAGAAAAGCTATAAACATCCTTGAAACATTTTCTCCTTCTTGAATCTTATTGTGAAAGCTCTCTTTATTCCTTGGAACGCTTTAGTCTACACGCTGGAACTTTTTCAAGTCATTGCTCCAGCCAAAAACAAGTTGTTTTATAGCCCTTTGTCTGGGGTGTCACATTGAGAAAGGTTCCTAGCTTGCAAGCACCAAGAAGAGTGAATATCATTTGGTTATAAAAGCTTAAACAAACAGGCAGGCTGAATGCTTACAAAGTTAGATTTTCTGAGTTGGACAACTCGGTAACCCATAGAAAAACATTTTGATAGTATTGCAAATTATTATTGTTTTTTTTTTCTTTTGCTTCTTCATAAACATTACATGAGTATATATTCGAGCATTGAGTGCACTGCCGCAGATTGAAACAGTGGGTCTATAAACAAGTTGAAAACTGACCTAAATCATGTAACTAGATCACTGACTGTCCTCATAAATCACAGACTCTACGTATTACTGCATAAATTTCATATTTAAAAGTTTTGTGAGCTATTCCCACAATACATCCAGTAACATGTGACCTTATAGCACATACCTGTGTCTCAGTGTCTGTGATGAGCGTTTAATTAGAGACTCGAGCACACAGACAGGTTGTCTAGACGCTCCGTACACGCCTCTGTAGATTCTTCTTCTGAATTAGTTTGTGAAATGCATAGCAGATGTGACACAGATGAGACAGAAGTGGGAGACATCAGACACCTATTGACACATGTACTACTGGTTTCCACTTTGGCACCTCAGGGCTTTGAAAGCAGCCTGCTGGTAGAGGAATGTCAAAACAGGCACAGTCAATAACAAGAACTCATCAAGCTCACGCTGATGGTGGAATGCTGGAAGTCGAACACAGTGAAGACGCCCTGGGAGGCTCTGATAACGTGGCTCCCTCACAGGGCCCTGAAGGCCATCTCCTCGCCACGATACCTTCCTTGGCACCACATGTGTTCTTAATAAACAGGACCCAGCTGGCCCTGGCTGAGCTGAGGTGGAACTATGACAGGGCCAGTGACAGAGCTTTCTGTTGTCGTAGGCTCTGAGATGGGTGAATCTGGAGGGACTTCAACAAAACAGCAGCTACACTGTGGAACTGCAGGCTGTCACATACTGGGGCCAGGTGCGACTGAAGAGCTCCAAGGCTTCTCTCCGCTTCAGCACCACCCAGAATAATGAGTCAGGTAAACACTGGTGCACAGCTTTTACTCCTTGAGCTGTCAAACCTGTATTTAAACAATGTTCTTTGTGCCTGCTGGCAGTGTGGTGCTGAGGATGTCAGGTAGTCAGTTCACTATTTAGGTCCCTTTGAAATATCTTAACAGCTAGTGGATGGATTGCCACAAAAGTTTGTGTTGACATTCATGCTCCCCAGATAACGAACCCTAATGACCTTGGTGATTTGCCTTTAGCCCTATCATGAGGTTGGCATTTGTGTGAAAGAAAGGTCTCCTATAAATTTGATCCCCTCTAGGATCATCGTCATGTCAAGCTTTTACTTTGTCTAATGTGATGGTTTATGAACAAATACCTGTAAGACTAATGACATTCCAATAATTCTGAGCTACATTTAGTGCAAATTAATAACTGCTAGCAACAACTGCCACTGTGTGCATGCTGACATTAGCATGCAGGTCAAAGCGTGGCCGTGCACAGCCTCACAGAGCTGTTAGCATGGCTGTAGACTTGTTACATTCTATGCATACATGCCATTTGGTGAATATTTTAAGCCAAAGCACCTTAAGTTAGTTAAGACTCTGCTCATAAAATAATGCAGCTGAGGATATGTGGCAACCAAAGAAGCATAGTATGTGCAATTAAGAGTCACATACAAGGTCCCACGGTTCCTGAAATCAAACAACCTGAATTGAGCTGCACTTTTGTCATTGCAGATTTGTAAGGGATAGATTGGACCAACCTAGCCGATTCCAGTTTGTTTGTTTTACTTGAGAGCGGACCTTTGCGAGATTATGGACTCTTACGGCAAACAACGAGAG